CCTCGTGTTTAGCTTATGTGATATAGGGAAGATAGCCAATAAACATGCAAAAAAGCAACTTGTGAGTTCAATTGATGTACAAAAGTAAATGATGTCACCACAAAAATACCAAGGTTATTGTATTCACCATCATTAATACTAAAGAAAAGCAAGCCTTAAAATAAGGTATCAGAGCCGCAGTGCTCTACAATTGTTTTTAACAGATGCAATGAAGTACAAGCAGAAAGGCAATTAAATGAAAGCGAACAACCACCAAGAAGGGATTAAAGTAGGATATACAGCCAAGATGGAAATAGAAGCTGTATAAAACTCACTTGAAAACTTAGGTCAATTTGAATGGGATTTTGGATGTCCTGTGCCCCAAAGGAAATGCCCGACGGAGGTCTCGAACCAAATGACTCAGAACCGATAGTGCCATCAGCACCACCTCTGCCGCTCCCCGCCCTGCCTCCAGCGCCTCCGGCACCACTAGCAATGCCACCAGAGTAACCACCATGTCCACCGCCACCGCGCCCATCACCGCCACGCCCTCCACGACCACGACCTGCGATTGAATAATGTGAAGGATTGATGGATTTCTCACGCCTCAATCGACCGCCAGCAGAAGCACTTTCAATAAAGTTTAATAACTATTAATAATATAATCACGGAGGTGCTCACGTAAAAATAGTTTAATCTGCATTGAAAAAAAGTGTCATGACAGCTTAAAACTTTGGATTGCTTACCCTACCATGCTTTCGGTCTACCTTATGCATTTGAAGGTCTTAGAGCTCGTCAACACATTTGCAAAAAGACCTATATTTCTGACTGCTGAACAATGATACAAGTGTTGTTTAACTGCTAGCCCAGCTGCACGGAATTTCCCAAACCAGTTTAGCCCAATGAGCTGGCAGACATTAAGTTTCGAACAATCTCTTTTAGACAGGCAACGATACCAACCTCCACCCCTACCACTACCGACCCGCCTCTTTTGGAATGCAGGCATTTCAGGTAAAGGTGCTTCAACCTCCCAAGTGCGACCACCCCGATCAGGTACTTGACCAGCCATGAGAATACGATTGAGGGGGCAAGAGGTGAACTCGCGTGCCGCTGAACCCGAAGTCTTCTCCAAACGCAGCAGTTGGACGTCGCGTGCAGCTAGGAGGTAGGGCACGACATCACCCCAAGGACTCACTTGCATGGCTGCACGCAATGGGCTATAGGCCGCCTCTATCTCCTCCAGCTTCAACTAAAACCCCGCATACTCCAAACTATTCGAAAGATTAAGCAGAGAACGTGTTATCAACAATTCACACACCTTCGCTCGATCAGACCACTTAAAACTCTGCACAGTGCAGTCAACGCGTTTAATGAGAGTCTCACGTCGACAGGCGTACTCGGCATCGAGGATCTGTCCAATACGACACACGTCCGACCACTGCTTCTCTGATAGCCCCTTAATTGGCAGCACCGGCTTACCCAAATAGTTAGGTGGGGCGTTCGAAATAACATTCTTGACCTGAAAGACAAAATGTTCAGGCCAATAGGAAGTAGAACGGATATAAAATCAAATGTAAAGACAACAACCTTACACGTTAGATTGTACTGTTTTCAAAGAAAAAATGAATGATCAGTAGTGTGATGAAGCCTTAGCTATAACCGTTTGTGCAACCAGCCGAAAATTCGGTTACAATCTGCAAATGACCGGACCCCAAATGGGATGCGCTGCAAGGCAACAAGGCCAGCCAATTCTCGACAATCATGGCCTAATCACTTGGTTCTAAGACGTTTGGAACAATACCTAAAAATACACAAGTAACGAGACTACGTTGAAAGCGACACTTCTCAAACAAAGGTTCGGTATTCAATGAAGCACATAAAAGACACTTCCAGCATCACATGTTTTTAGTTCTAAAGGCAACAATTCACCAACAAAGTCGAGAGAACCAGACAAACGTCTATATCTTCACGCTATTTCTCATACACTGTGATCTCAACTAGTCATTACTAGAGTGCAGCTTCATTCCATCGTTTGAAGTAGAGATCGCAGCTTGTAATTCATGAGGTTTGGGCAAGAATTTATTCTCGTTTCGACTCGCATGGACATTTCCATGAAAAAAACAAAAAAATATCCATCGAATTGATATGTGTATTTCCTTTTGTACATGCAACACTTAAAGGTCACTAT